TTTAAAAAAAAAAAAAAAAAAAAAAAGTTTCTCCCTACAGCAAGTCAGAACTCACTTCCCTGTGGACTATCAGGCACTCCGGCGAGCCCAGGTGTCTGCTCCCCTCTCTGCTCCTACTTCTGCTCTTCCGCTCCAGTTTGCTGCTCAACTTTTGGCCTATGTGGACGCAGCCAGGCCAGATCTCTCTTTGAGTTTCTTTTCTGACAGGTGAAGGCATGTGCTAACTTCCCCAGGAATTAGATGAACAGGGAGGTTTACTGGCAAACTCAAAACCATTGGGCCAGGCGTGGTGGCTTACGCCTATAATCCCAGCACTTTGGGAAGCCAAGGCAGGCGAATCACGAACTCAGGAGATCTAGACCACCCTGGCCAACATGGTGAAACCTCGTCTCTACTTAAAATACAAAAATTAGCTGGGCGTGGTGGTGGGCACCTGTAATCCTAGCTTCTCGGGAGGCTGAGGCAGAAGAATTGCTTGAACACGGGAGGTGGAGATTGCAGTGAGCCAAGACTGCACCAGTGCAGTCCAGCCTGACGACAGAGTGAGACTCTGTCTCAAAAAAAAAAAAAAAAAAAAGAAAAAGAAAACCATTTGCAGCTAGCTAACTTACTTTCTTCCCCCCTCAGGAGTAAATGCAGATGAGCAAAACCCTCCCGGGCTTGGAAAAGACATCCTCCAAAGCCCAGCTGGGCGGCGAACTGCAGTTCTGCCCCCGCACAGCTCCAGGACTTTCCTTAATTCTCCTCTTCTGGGCCCAGGTCACATGCCACACAGCCAATGGGGCCTGGAATCTGGGCTGGCATCTGAGGGCGGTGGAGGCCTCAGGAGTCAGGTGACTCGGGCCCACCATTCTCGAGTGTCTGTGTCAGCAGCCTCCCCCTCCCCTCTGGCAGAGCCAAGGGGCACCGAAGCTCCTTCTCCATCACACCAGCATGGTTAGGTGCCTGCTTTTCCCTTTAAAGAAAAAACAAAGGTAGTCTGACACTGAATCGGACTGTTTCGGCTCACACAATGCCAGAACATTTTGTTCATTTTGACTTCTTGAGTTCCACTGCAGCACAGGCAAGAGGTTCTGGAAGCTCTTGGGAATCCCAACTACCCCCGCTAAATGCGAGAGTTTTGACTAAAAATAAACAAAGATCACATCACTAAGGCGGCACTCCACGGAAATTCTCTCAGAGGCCAGCCTCGTGCTCCTCCAGGAAGGTCACTCCAAGGTCAAAAGGCGGGGCCCTGGGCAGTGTCGCCCCTAACCCTTCTACGGACTGCTGGAGAAGACCGACCCCTCCTGAGTCCTGTGCCCTCAGCAGCATTCACCTGGTGACTGCCCGACGGCCACTTACGCTCTGCCCTCCCCCACCCCTGTGTACTGTCTCTCCTAGGTCACAGTGGCCTCCAAGTTGTCTGCTCCAAACTCCATCAGCACTGTCACTCCCCAGTCACTGGGCCTTTAAAACTGCAAAGCACATCCTCCCCCAGCTCCCTGCTCTTCGCCTTACACTTTACTGCCATCCTGACATAGATCAGCCCCGCTCCCCGCTGAAATCTATACTCTTCTCACCCAGGCTCCAGGCCCCCAGATTCCCTGACAGTCTCATGCTGCTGTGCCTGGGCACCCCTGCTTTCCTGGTCTGAAATAGCTCCTCCTCCCCATTCTTCATCTGTCTAAACTCCTGCTCATTCCTCAAGACTCAGGTCAGCTGTCACCCCCTCCAGGAAGCCGTCCCTGCCCTCCTCCCTTCAGCTCAGTTTAAGAGACCTTCCTATGACTTCCAGAGGACAGTGGGACTCACCAGTACCTTGTGTAAACATATCTTCATTCATTTATTATGCTGTGTCTGGCACATAGTAGAAACTCAATAATCACCTGCAGTCAGGCTGTCCATAACACGAGCTATGAGCTCCTTAAAAACAGGGGGTTCAGTAGATGCATCTCGGAATTCCTCGGGGCCTGATGAAGTGTCTGACACACACAGAGGCTGTCACTCCATACTGGCTGAACTGCACTGAGCCTGGGGGCCACCGCCCTAGCAGATATGTTCTGTGCTCACCGCAGGAACGGTGACACACTCAAGGAGGACACAGTGGGCGAGGATGACACACTCCATCTGGCAGGTGAGTTATGCCACATCCATGAGACCAGAGGCAGCTGAGACACCTCAGAGACCTCCCTTACACAGCCCTCACTCACAAAGCTTCAGGACGTCATGGTCCTAACAGAGAGTCTGCTTCAAAACCACCCATGCCCAGCCACCTTGGGGGGTCCTCTGGAGAGGATGCTCTAGGGCCAGCCCCAGAGGGAGAGGCTGTCACAGCCTGGAGTCAGGGCCCCTCCCACAATCTAATAAACAGCATGAGTCTTTACACCTCATGCAGAGGTGCTCCCTCAAAGCTACCCAAAGTGCAGCCAGAAATCTCATCAGTCGAGACTGCCCATCGTGCTCACCCCCCAGGATGCCAGCCCCAGACTCATGAGGAGCAATGCTCACCAGACCCAGGGAACAGACGCGTCAGGAGTCAGAGGCCTGCACCAACAGAAGCCTGGGAGGCACAGGCTGAACCCTTCCCTCGGACCTCCAAGCCAAGGGCTCCTTTGAAAGCTTCCACAAGCTTAGATGAGCTCTTGCTCCTGCAGACACTGGGGTCAGGTTCAGGCAGTAGGCAGTAGAGGGGTCTAGAAGCAGCCAGAATCATACCCTAGGCCAAGCTGGGGGCGGGCACTCCAGCTACAGCCACATAATCCGCACCTGGAAGACGCTGACTCCAGGTGTGCAAGGCAGCTCCCCCAACGTGAGAGAAAGAGCAAGAAACAAAGGTGCCCACTGCAAAGCACCTAAAGAGAATCCAAAAGGTCGTAAGTGGGCCCCTCATTCACAGTCTAGATAGGTGTGCAACCACTAATTCCTTGGTTTCCAAAGAATTCATTCACAGAAGTAACAGTCCCAGCACATCCAAGATGGTGAGGCCACATCATAACCCATACGTGCATTTAATTTTCTATGCTTAGGAACAAAACTAAACCACTTTTGGTAAACAAAGATTTAGTTCCCTAAAGAGAAAGCTTAAAAGACTTACTAGTCTCAACTCTTGTTGACAGATACACTTCTACCTAAACTATAATGCATACTTCCAACTTTTCCTCTCAGAAAACCCTACACTATCCGAAGAGGATGCTGGAGGAGAAGAGGCTCTATCTGCCCCAGCCTGACCTGTCCAGCCAGGCCCAGCTCCAGCTGAAGCCCCTCTGCTCTGTCCTGCCTCCTGTCCTTCTGGCCTCCCTTCAGTCCTCCCGACAGCAAGTGCTTGCCACAGGCTGCGTCAGATACTCACTAATGTTTGTTGGGCTCTAAGTGTCCCAACGTGTGGTTTCACTCAGGGCCCCAAACCTAGGGGCTGGGGTGCTGTTAGCACTGCCACACTCCAGATGAGGGAATGGAGACCAGACACACAGCCACCTGCTCAAAGGCATATGGCATGGCTGGCAAAGGGCAGACCTGGGATTTGAACCCAGGCTTCTGATTCCAAAGCTGAATGCTACTTTTGCCCTCAATGATACACAACTGGGTGTCACTTAGACTCTGCCCAAAGTTCCTCTGTGACATCAAACAGTCCCCATTTTTCCTGCAACCACAAGACGCACCTTGCTGGCATGCAGCCGACCAAGGGCTTTGCAGCAGAACCCCTGGCTGCCCAGTCACACTCATTCCCTACCTGGCATCACTCTGCAAGGCACTACGCCCATTGCAAGGGGCTTCTCAAACAAGCTCTAAACTGATCTTCCTAAAAACACTGGGAGGCAGGAGCAGCAAGATGAGAAATGAGAAGCCAAGAGAGGTTTACAGGGCAAATTCAGTCCAGCAAGCAGGCAGTCTGTGCCCACTACCTTCCAGCCAGGAAATTCAATCGTTTGACTGCCAAAGGGATTCCATGGGAGAATGGTTCCTATGGCCCAGTCCCCAGGATCATGCCACAGAGGGCCTTCCCTGCATTCTGCACTCTATCTGGAAACCCAAAACCACAGACACGTCTTTTCCCCCAGCTCAGGAGCCAGGCTCCCTCTGCTCACCCAGATCATGGAGACGGCCAGCTGCAGGGGACATCAGCTTCCCACTTCCACACATGCAGAGAAGCTGCTCCCAGCCTGCGGGCAGAACCTCCCTCCACTCCCAGGCCCACGGCCAAGGCCAATGCCAGAGCAAGGGGAATTCCAGTCAGGGCCGCAGGCCTCTCCCCGCTGGGCTTTCTCTGTCAGGGTGCTCAGGCTTCAGCCAGCAGGCAGCCTGGGCGGGAGGGTGGCCTCTGCGGGGTGGGGGCAGGCAGCAGCAGTGGAACCTGCAAAAGCCACCTTCCTGCACAGGCACAGTCCAGCTGCCAGGACACACAATGGCCTCAGACAGGACCTGCACAGGCCCAGCTCTCCAGGAGCTCGAAGGCCCACCCACGCCCCCTCCTAGCAGTTACAGCATGGCACCCAGGCAGGAGTTGCCAGGGAGCGCCCACTGGGCAAAGCACATGTCTTACAGCAGGTACTCTCCTCCCCAGTGAGCACCGGATGGAAAAGCAGCACGGCGTGGCAGAAATAATACAGGGCTGAGGGCAGCTGGGCCAAGTTCAAACCCCAGCTGCCCCTTCTCACCTGGGGTGAGCGATTCCTCCAGGCCACAATATTTTCATCAACGAAACAGGGGTCGTCCCTCAGCCACAGGTTGTGCTGAGGATCAAATGAACTAAGGAAGTGAAGTGCCTGGCTCCACACTGGACACCTAGCAGATGTCCAGTCAGTGTCTGCTGAATGAATGTGGAAACTGCAGCCCTGAGGAAAATAACAATTCTCCTCTTCTCCCCTCGCTCGGCCCAAACCCAACTCCCAACAGGGGAGAAAGAGCCCTTAGTCACTACTCACCACCACCACGACATAGACGGGCAGACTGAGACACTTTTGGCACAGAAGCCAAAACCTTCTTCATCAAGCTCACCTTCACAAGGTTTCAGCACCTTCCATTGGGGCTCGGGTGGGGGGGGATGGATAGCACGTTTTCACTTGGCTAATGAACGCTGAGCAATGATCAAGTTCACCTGCTGGTCTACGCTAAAGCAGGCATAAGGTCCCATGTCATGAGAACACAGCAGTAGGGCAGGGACTCAGGAGACAGAGGCTGCACCTTTGAGAACTGGCTACATGACCCTGGGAGATTCGCCTCACCTCTTAAGACCTGGACCTCTCTTCTAGAAGCTGACATCAGCAGACCCAAGAAGCTCTCACTCTCCAAGGCGCTCGGCCATTCTAAACACAAGTCTATGAAATGTAATCCTGAGTATGCTCACAGAAAGACAGGCTCTGAGCTGTTAGGGACAACCAGGTGCCTGAGAGTGACATTCACGGCCAACCTGGGTGAAAAAGACTCACCACTCACAGAGAGTTGCCAGGATATGCCTGAGAACCAAACTGCATCTTTCCTCCCCTGAGCCCCAGGGGGGCACGATGTGCCAAACCCCCAGAAGGAACAAGACCACTAGGACAACAGGGAGGCAGGGGCTGCAGGAGAACCGCCCTGAAAGCACAGCCTGAGTAAAATCCGCCCCTTCAATCTGGAAAGAAGGTGGTTCAGAGGGACTGTGCTGAACGCTGGCCCAGCATAAACAGAATGACCTGGATGATGCCAAGCAGACACTTCCCTTCGGGATGGGCCTTTCAGACACCACTTCACCAAGACCTAGCAGCAGCGGCAGAAAATCCCCACGGGTTTGCTCCACTCTTGCATAGGGAAGCCCCCAGTCTCCTGCTACGGAATAGGGAGACTAAGGGACGACCCCTAAGTATGCATGGGGTCTATTACCGCCTCACTCCTCAGTCTTGGATGCACAAGAGAATCAACTCAGGAACTTTAAAGATACCAATGCTGGGGTGCTGCCCCCTCTCTCCAAGACTGTGATGTAATTGGTCCCGAAGGCAGCCTCGGCATCTGAGGTTTTTTTCAACCTTCCCAGGTGACTCTAATGTGCAGCCAAGGTTCAGAATCACTCCTCTAGCTTCTAGAAGTTCAGAGCACAAGGGCCCCAGAACTCTCCTGCAAACTCTTCAAGGGCAGAAAGGACAGCATGTCCAGCCAGGCAGGCCTTGCTAGAGATGGGTCTCCTTATTCTTCCTTCAAAACACGCACACACTCACACCCCAGAACCAACCTGCAAAGAACCTGTTTCTGTCTGAAACAGAACGCAGGGCTGCTGCCCAGCCCTGGCTGAGGCGGACCAAGTTCAGTTACGCTGGAGGATATACAATTGTGTTCAGTTACTTGATTACTTCAGGCATGTAAACAAAATGTGATATTGTACAAACCTGGAGCAGCAAACACCACATCATAATTTACTTCGAGACATCTGAATTACAAATGTAAAAAAAAAAAAAAAGTTGGAAATGCTTTCAAGAATCTCTTTGAATGGAAAATGGAATCTGAATAAATGTGATTTACTTCCTGTTTCCCCCAGAAGGCCAATGGAAATATTTTCTTGTGAATCTGCCTTTTCTGAGATTGAGGCAAAACATCTCAGCCTCCCAGACTATGGCACTGCCTTTGGTCCTATAGTACATACAGATTTCAATCACTCCAAAAA